TGTGGAATACTCTGATTCTGGGATAGATCTGTTGAATATGTATGCATGTAATCAGTGTCATAAAAGTAATTACCATAGCATAAAACCAGTTTGATTAAATGGAAAACTAGGCTTTCTTTCCTCTTTCCTCAGAAGTTTGGAGGCTAAGTTATAAAGACTATTTGTGATTTGCATCAAGGTGTCATTTCATTCAGGCTTTGCACTTATGGGGAAAAATGAGAATTACAGACTACAGTCATCAGAATAGCTGTGTATGAATAGAGCTCAGGTCGCTGCAGGAGAGAGCAGAATATTGCCTCTCTGATTCCTGCTGTATCCTGCAAAAGATAAACTCTTAATCGGATCCTTCATTAGCATAAAGTGTGGAAAAAACGGCTCGTGTCAGGGATTACTTAGTAAATGTAGTTAGTGGGAGAAATTATGCATTGAAGAAAATACAAAATCCCTCAAATTAATCTTTGAAATACATGGAGTTTGACTCTCCTCTCTCTTAACACTGGGATAATTGAAGAATAATTCCATTTCAGTGACTTAGTGTGCTAGTGTAGTTGGAGAGGAAATTGAGTTTGCCTGCTCTCCCAGGATTTTAAAAGTCTTACATTTTTAAGGCAGAATTGTGTATCCTAAAATTTGTACTTGTACCTTCAAAGGAAGAATTGTATCCTATATCACAGCGTAGAATCCTTTGACACATGATCTCCAACTATTTAAATCCAGAGTGGAGTCTTTATGCTATCATGAGGGTTCAATACTGGTTGGCTTAGCTTTGCCACTGGCTTTAGTATTTGCAGTTTTAAAAAAGCCAGACTGGGTAATAATTGTTTGGTGAATCTCTGAAATATACCTTTGTTTATGTTGTCACTTTTACCATGTTAAATTCTTCATGTGTGAAGATTAAAATGTCAGATGTTTCCTTATTGTAGGCAGTCAGGGCAGGATTCCTACTGAATTTATAAGTCTGTCTTTTAATTTTTTAGTGGACTTCCCTAACATTCTGTGTTCATTGTTCACCTTGAAGCAACATCTTGACATATGCTGTCAATACAGTTAGTTGACTGAAATGTTTTTATGTCTGCCCATGGGTCTTTGTTTTCTGGCAAACCCATGTCATATTTCCTTTCTAGTGATTTCTTTTCTATGTGCAACTTATGCATAGGTAAGGAAGTGTGTTCCATTGGTGACCTAAGGTGTCGTGAAGCCCGTTAATGTTCAAAACCAGAAGAGACATGTTGGATTTTCTTAGAGTTTTTCAGTTAGTTGTATACCTAGGAGAACATAACTGAGGAGGAAAATGCAGGAGGCATGCTGAAGTAAGCATGTGTTATTTCATTATCATTTCTGGTCAGAAGGTTATTGCACTGTCATTACCACAGATAATAGAATCTGCATGTGAATTGTTGATCAGCTACCATTTTATGAAAGCAGATTGTTGTTGGTGACAACTTCAGTGTGCACTGTCTTTGTATACTTGGAGAGTTTGGGCCTTGTGCTTGTTTGAGTTACCACACTAATCCCTGCTTCCAGATATCCTGTAATGAGGAAGCAACCCTCTGGTGTAAATCAGCATTCACTATTCTCAAGAGGAGAATTATATTGAACAAAAAGAATTTTCTTGCCCCTCCCCTTGCTTCTGGGCAAAGAACAACATGGTTCAGGTATAGAAAGTAGTTAAATCTTTTGTTGAGCAAATCATGTATGGAGATGAGCACATAAGTTTCCTTTCTGTTTAAAACTAGTACTGTTAAATTTTTTTCCCCATTTTTTAAATTCTTGCCTTTTTTGTCACTCTTGAGAGTGCCAGATTGGAGCTTATTTACACTGGGGTTCATTCACACACTGTTTTGAGGCTTCTTGTACCATGACGTTGTTTGAAAGGAGAATCAAACCTTGAAAAAAAAGTTTAAATTATTTTTACAGATTAGCACTGGAGAATATGGTGCCTCCCTACAGTCAGTTTTTGACTGTGTAGAGTTAGTGGGTGCATGCTGGTGGACTAGAATGCAACAAAAATTTGACATTGCTTGATTCTTGGAGGAAAGCCCAGAGAGATACCTGTATGATCAGTCATGGACGGAGCCACACGTGCTCCTCAGATGTCCTTGCCCCTCAATCTCTCGCTTAGCTTGGAATGCATCACTGTGTGTATACTTGGGCCATGCTGTATTTCTCTCTGGAGCAGGAGAGGATGGGTCTGCAGTCTAGCTGGGTCAAGTATGGACAGTTCAGAGCAGATGGCCGAAGCTCTGCTCATCCACAACTGATTTTGGATTGTTTTAACATGAACTCTGGCCAGGCTAACCTTTGTGACTGTGATGGAAATTCACAGCGTGCTTATGCTCCATTCTTAAACCATCTCTTTGGCATAACAGGGTAGACTGTGTAATCTCACACGCTTGGAAATAGCTCTGTAACCTAGTGTTTGTTTTCTTGTGAAAATTCTGAATGTAACTCGTATGGAGTTTTGTAGTTGAATATGTCTAGGGAATATGTGGGATCAATGAGCAGTTCAGGGACTCAGACTTGAAGGAAATTCTACATAAAAAGCTGAGATAGAATATAGCTCAGCTTCCTGTATCGACAGTGATAAGCATTTGAAGCATTCAAAAAGAATCACGACGTTTGGGAAAACATGTTTTTCTCAGTAGAGACATTAATAACCATGTTAACAGTGTTATTTACCTCCTGCTGCTTCAGTGGAAAGAGCAAATTGTAAGTGTGATTTCAGAATTAATAATTTTCTTCAAAGCCAGACTGATTCAAAGCCCTAAGCAAATTACTGGGTTTATTGTTAAAAATGCTCACATCAGAAAATGGGTGATTATTTTCATACCAGAGTTCTCGAAACAGAAGCAGAAAATTGCTGCTGCTTCTTTATCTAAGCTGAGGTTGCAAGAAAGAGAGAAGTTAGGTTGGGGGTTTGTGGTGCGTTTTTTTTTTGGAATGAAACACAGTTTAGATGTCATTTTATATGCCACACAAGGAACAGAAGAGACTAATTTACTTCAACTGGCATATGGAGGGCAGCTTTGTCATACAGCAGGTCCCCTGTGATGCTTAATTTTCACTCTTTCCTGTATCCTTTTGGATGCACTTCATCACTTTGTGCTGCATACAGTTTTAAAAAGGATGCACAGAGACTTCCATAAAGTGCCATATGGAAGTGTTTCAGAGATTTCAGAGTAATACCTCTGATACCTTGCCATTTTGGAGGTGATCATCTGAAGCATGAAAGAATATTTCAGAAAGATGTAATGTCCAAGGTGGAAGTTTCTACACAGAAGAGATGAAAGAAGCAGTAACAGACCAAGAGGAATGTCTTGTGTGGGAAGAGCAGGTGAATTATAGGAAAGGGATTTTTTTTCCAAATGCTTTTCTGAAAGTCTCAAAACAAAATTAAAAATTCCCAGATAAATTTGATTGGATTTTTCTTCCCTACTTCCTTCCTTATATACTTTTTTTTGTATTTATATCCTTTACTGCATAGACATTTTCATTGTCTTCTTAAAACTGTGTTTAAAATACAAATTTGTGAATTCAATTTACAGCACACAAAATTGCCTCTTAACAATAAGCCACTCAGTTGCTTTTTTCAAAATAAATCTGCAAAGTTTTCTGAAAAGTGAACAAAAGTATTTTCTTTGGAAAAGAATCGTGCTTCTTCTGGAAAGAGTGACAGCTCTTAATATGGGCAGATTTTTTTGAGGTATATTCCATAAAATTTGGCTTATAAAAATAAATTCTCTCATGACAGAGTCAGAGTATCTTAGCACCTAACTTGCAAAACAGACAGAGCTGGTCTAATAACTACCAAGAAGAGACTGATGCTGACAGAATCTCCAAAATGCAGAAAATATAGTTCAATAGGAGAGAGTAGGTCCAGAAGCAGGGCACACCTAATTATGTAAGGAGGAAGGCACTTGAGGGTGTTTGTGGTTGTAACATTCTTTATACCATTCAGAGCTACATTAAATGATACAAACTGATTGTACTGAGGGGAGAATATGACAGCCTGATTTGCAGTCTGCAAGAGAAAGTGTGGCCATTTTGTTGACAGTGAAATTAATGGAGAGCTTTTTTGGCTGGGTTTCAGTGTTAATATTATGTAACTTTCTCAGAATATTTTCTGAACTTTTCATTAGGAATTAGGTTTTTCAGCACAAGTGTCCTTGAGTTCTGTTTCAAGTGATAATCTGATCAATCAATACTTTGCTTTAGCAGTACCTGTTGATTAGTCCCTCCCCTATTTCACACATAATCCTTGTGAAATAGATTAAAATAATTGTGGTTATTTCCTGAAGAGTAGAATTCAAGGCAGAGAGCAAAAAGATCCTATTTCACCAAATCTCTGCCTTTGAAGACATCTCCTGAATTTTTTTAAGGCTTGTGTGTGTAGGTGCACAAAATTAAAAATATGAAATGCAACATAAATGAGTGCAAAAGCTTCAGGGAGCAGTTGCTTTGATTAATTGCTTTGTTGTTTGTGCCTCATGCATTTTAGCACATATAGTATATAGATCATATATAATCATAATGTGTAAATCAAAGGCAGGGAAGTTTTGCTGGCTTATGTTAGCTCGTTACTACAAATCTGTATGCGTTACACTTCTGTGTAGTCTTGAATGGCAAGGATTTAGTCTGAACTAATTTCTTACACTTCTAAATCAAGAATGTCTTCATGAGGTCTGCACAGGTTTTGTCAGTAAAAATCTGGTGTGTCTTCTGAGACTTGAGTTTCTTTTCAAGGTGATTAGTCATGGACTTAATATCAGTCCCCAGACAGTCACTGTAGAGAAGTCCACCAAGTCTGGTAGGCATTAGATCACACCTTTTAAGAACTCTGCACTACTTTAAGTGGAGAATGCTTCTATCCTGAGTGACACTGGATATATTAGGAAGGAAGAAAGTAATGTAAAACTGTAAAGCAACACACCTGAAAAAATATGCTAGGTGAAAGGTTAATATCCTGAACTCCTTTATACCATGTTTTGTTTTGCTCAAAGCTTGTCCACCAGGAACATACAAGCCTGAAGGTTCACCAGGTGGAATTGGCACTTGCATCTCATGTCCCGATGAGAATCATACTTCTCCACCAGGAAGTACCTCCATTGAGGATTGTACATGCCAGGAGGGATATCGTGCTGTAGGACAAACCTGTGAAGGTAAGTGTTGCCATTCAGGAACAGAATAGTCCTGGAATGCACAGTGCAGTGCTGGGACAATTTTATTATGTGGTTTTGCACTGTGAAGGACATGTCAAATTGCAAATTCCCTGTGTCATTCCAAAACAGCAACAATACCAAGCCACAGTTTGAGTTAGAAATTTTAAAAGATTGTTTTCCTTCAGTAGCCTGTTGCATTCCGGCTGGTATCATAACTCTGTTGTGGTTGTTTAATTGTTTAGTTGTTCACTGCTCTGAACTGAAGCCCCCGGAAAATGGTTACTTTGTCCAGAATGTCTGCAACAATTACTTCAATGCTGCGTGTGGGATCCGATGCAAAGCAGGATTTGATCTCGTGGGAAGCAGCATCCGACTTTGTCAGCCAAATGGCCAGTGGTCTGGATCAGAAGCTACTTGTAGAGGTATAGATGTCATGTGTTTGAAAAGTATTTTTCTGTTGGTTTAGTTTGTTCTTAACAGTGGTTTTCTTTACTCACTAGTAGTTGGGTGCGCAGATCAGATCCTGTTACCACTTGGGTGAAAGAAAGTTCCATATGTAAAATCCCACTCCAATCACTCCATTTCCCCTCCTTCCTAAAATGGAAGAAGGACATCTACAATAGAAAATGCAGAGCAGGATTTACTAGGCAGACAATCTTTTGCAAGTGAATCTGCATTCTCCTTCCTTACACCCCTCTTCACCTCTCTCCACTTAATTTCTATGAATTTTGTATCTACATTATGTAAACCCAGTGGACCTAGCAAGTGTTTAAATATGTAACCATATTTAGACCTTGCCACATGGCAGTTTTAGAACATCCACCAGACTCTTGGCATAGAATAGCATTGGGAGACATTAGGCATAGAAGAATTCCATTTTGCTTTCTTACAGTTTCTCTTCTTACAAAAAATAGGAAATCTGCGGCCTTGAGCATAGTTTTCCGAAGAATTTTGAATGAAGTTTCACTAGGGAACGATTGACAGTATCTTAGAAGTTTTATACTGAAGTATACCTTCAGTATAAAACAATGTCAGTTGTAAAAGAAATAAACAGAAGGTGTGAAAGGGAGAAGACATGGGAAAGAGCATCCTGAGAAACATTATTTCTGAATTTTCTGATAGGAACAGAGTTTTGTTTTGCTGTCACTTGTGTCTGTCTGAGGTTGGGTTCTTGATGATTTAGAACAGAAGCTACAATCCCATATATGTATATCTGTCTGGTATATTTTCCAAGGAGACCCTGAAAAAAACAGATAGCAGCCCTTATGTCCTCAACAGCTACAGGATGTAGTTCAGCATTTTTAACTTGACTTGAATACACTTGACATTGGCATGCTGCACAGGAAGCTAGTAAATACAAAGTCATCAGCACATTCTGTAACTCTTGCCCTGGCCTTGTGTTTGGGAAAAAGGCAGGGTAGATCCTTGGAGGCATTAGCACTTCATGCCAGTACAGCAAACACAGCAGCCCTTAAAGAAACAGCAAGTCATGGTTCTAAAAGGGGGGATCAGATCTAGAGAACAGTTTCTCAGGACATTCTTCCTGTAGTAGTTCACTTCTACTTCAAATTTAGAACTCTTCTTCAGATAATCCTAGAAAAATTAGTTTTCCCTTTTAACTTCCAGTGGCAGAAGGCAGGTAGAAGCTTTCAATAGAAAATAAATTATTGTCCAGTACCATGAGGGTGTCTTGAGAAGGACTTAGAGCTGTGGACTTTCTAGCAGTCCAAACATAAACTGAAACTGAAGATGCATACTACTTCAGGTAGACTGGGATACTAGGAAAGAGCACCCACCTGTCAAAGTTTCTGTCAGACAATATGTGTGTAACAAAAAATCTGAGGAAAGCTGCAGTCAGCCACAAAGAAAGGATCCTTCATCTTATTTTCTACAGAGAAGTGGAAGATTCCAATACTTGAAAATCTTGCTGGAGCATTTAATGAAATTCACCTATTTGGTGTTGGTGTGTGATCTTCCTTTAATAGAGAATTTGGAAGATGGGGGAAGAGAAAAGTCTGCATTGAGATCCTGTCTTGATATTGAGTTAATATCCTTTGAAGCACTGAAAGGATATATTTTTGCTTTTTATATGTCGTTGTCCATCATACTGAAGACTTCCAATTGAAAAAAAAAATTAAGAAATCCCACTGTTACATGTGCTGGATCTGCTAGTCTTGATTCACTCAGACTATGAAAGGGACCAAGATCAAAGGCACAGTTTATAGCTGTCTTGTTAATCCCAGGAGTATTTTATCACATAAATTAGGAAGGGAGAGTGAAGGAAAATCCCTTTGCAGTGCTTTGGATTTTGACGTTAAATACTCCTCAGTTCTTCTGCTAGCTAAAATCTGCTGTGCTATTGGAAACTGATTAATGCAGTCATGTCATGCAATTATGGGTGACCCATGAAAAAAAACTACAAAGCGTGTATTTAATCCAGAGAAATGTATTGGGAGAAGACCCAAAACAAACAAAATATACTGTTATTGTTTTTGTTGTTTCCACTGCCTTTATGAGAATATTCCTTGGTCGTGGAAAATGTCTTGTTGATAAGAGGATGGGTTGGTGTTTAGTGCCTGGAAGCATTACCAAGGTGGGCTCAGTTACGGGTTTCTGCCAGAGCCGTGCTGAGGCACTGAGTAAGCATGAACATTGAAACGACTGAGGAGGCAAGAGCACTACAGCTATGTGGTCCTTCCAGAAGAAATGGCTAGACTTCCCAGGTAGTGGAAGGCAATGCCTTCTCTGTAGGCACATTAACATTGCCAAGAGCCTCCTCAGTGCTCTTAATTCATTCAGGCTTCCTCAGTAGTAGAGTTTGGTAGCATTTGCTTCTTTTTGTTGCAGATTGGGTATTAAAGACTTCTGTAGAAACTTTAAAAGAGAAAACATGCTTTCTTGTGTATAAAGCATGTAAAAATGTTTTTCTTGCACCCTCTACCAAAGTTAAGATACAGCATATTATGAAGCTTCTCTTAAGCTCAGAGTGCCTCTCACAAGATGGGCATTTTAAGACCTTTTTTTAACTCTTAAATACACTCCCTAGAGGATGGCCAGGTATGTGCAAGCACAAAAGTAGTAGTACTTTGAGTTAACATGAGTAAACATGAGACCATGGTAATGTAAAGATATATTGGGTGCATCTGAATGGCTTTTTTCCCTTCTTTCTTATCCTATATCCTACAGGTTTTGCTATGGACTTTTTTTACACTCAGGTGCCACCACAGCTGTTTTCAGAAGAAACATTATTTAGTGTGTATTGTTTGTAGCTTTCAAAGGCTACTAAAACTACGATGTAGTTACTGACATTTATACAGCTGGCTCTCATTTGAAGGAGCACTCAGGCTACATGCCCATTTATTATTTTGAGGGTGTATAGTCGTGTCCACTTGTAGGCATTGTTCTGTTTCATCAGTGTGCAGAGTAAATAATTACTGGGAAGAGGAGAGGTTGCCAAGGTGTCTTACCTTTGGGTGCATAGAGATAATGTTTTGCCTCCTGCCTGATAGCAGCAAGAATGGGTTAATTGGTAAAATCAGCTTCCCAAATCACAGCAGGGAAGTTATCTAGCTCTCTGAAACCACCCATCACTTGAGCTTGCCCTCCTGCCAGCAAGGTCAGTAGAAGCTGTGGAAAACAATCAAGTGAGAACAGAGTTCCTCTTGTGAGGAAGAGATGAGAGGCTGAGGGAGCGGGACCTGTTTAGCCTGGAGAAGACTGAGAGGGCATCTTGTTAAAGTATATAAGTGTCTGAAGAGGATGGAGTCAGGTTCTTCTCAGTGGTGCCAAGCAATAGGACAAGAGGCAATGGGAAGAAACTGATGCTCAGAAAGTTCCACCTGAGTATGAGGAAGAATATGTTTACTGTGAGTATGATTTAAGCACTGTAACAGGCTGCCCAGAGGGATTGTGCAGTCTCCCTCACTGGAGATCTTCAAAAGCTGTCTGGAAAAAATCCTGTACAACGTGTTCTAGGATGAATCTGGTAGAGCAGGGAGGTCAGACTAGATGTGCTCCAGTGGTCCCTCCCAGCCTCAGCCGTTCTGGGATTCTGTGAGTTTAGGGAACTGCAGTCTTCTTGGCTGTATTTTGAGCAGTCACACAGTTTGTCCTTGTGTGTTTTCCTCCCTTCAATAATTTCTGAACATACTGAGCAGTATCTGGCAACTTCAGCTGAAAGCAGAGTTTTCAACTAGAGTTATCTACTCATTTTGGAAAATCAGTAGCTGATTATTGATGTATCATCATCACATAGTCATGCCCAAACAGTAGGTGTGTACAGCTTAGTTGTCTGAGGGACCCAAGGGCCAGGCAGGGTGTGTAGCTCAGAGTCTTGTCCAGCAGGGAGCAAGGGGACAAATGCTGGAATATGAGATCCTAGATGAAAAGAAGGAGGCGGTGCAAAGGAAAGAGATTTAGGTTATTACACTGAAACAAAGAACGTAAGTCTAGGTCATACCTGTACTACTTTTTTCTTACTACAATCATTCAGCTGTTTTGTCATCAATCTTAACTACAGTGTAGCTTTGTGCTAAATTGCAGCATCAGAATTCAGTAGTAAACGCATAAGACAACCTGAGGATCACATTCTATGCCCTACTTCCTTTTCTGCACATACATATTGCACAGGACTGCATTCTTCTTGGCATCACACTACTTTCGGTGTTTGCAAGACATTACAGGAGAAAAGCTTCTGTGCTGAGCAGCAGACAGGACTGTCCCTGTGCTCAACACCTGGAAGGGTCTCTTCCGTCTCAGCAACAGCCTGATTTGTTCCTTTTCATCTCTTATGGACCTGGTGTATATAAATGGTTTGTATTCCTTCTTCCTCTTTCTGTGTCCTCCAGCATGATGAGTGTCTTCTCTGATTTGCAGAGACTTACATGTGTCTGTGTCTATCAAAATACTCCTGGAGTGCCTGAGAATGTTCCTGGGCGCTGAGACACTGTCATCCGACCTGTTAATAGGCTCTTAGTTTCTTCCCTGGTGTGCAGTCAGCCCATACCAGCCTGCCAGATGGAAATCCCCCAAAGAACCCTCAGACATTGTTGGAGTCTAGAAACTTCCAAAGACACAAACTTTTCCACAGGATTCCATTTGACTGCAGCTGTCCCATTTTGAAGGCTCATAGACATTACTAGCACAGGTCACACACTGTGTTCCAGGTGCACAGTTGGTTTGTTAGACTGGACTTATGTCAGAACTCTGATGAGCTTGGAGATGTGTGCCAAATCTCATATATTCTACGTAAGACTGTTCCAGGAAGAGGAAGGCATCAAACCTTTGAAAAAAATCCACTCTGTTCTAGCTCTATTCCCTAAATTTTTACAAACTACTGTAACTAGTGTACAAGCCATTACTTTCCCACCCCTAAAAACCTGGGCAAACTAGTGTAACTCCAGTAATTCTCAGTGCTGCAGAGTGAACTGGTGGGTTTTTTCTCTTCACAGTTCGAACATGTCCCAGACTTCGGTCTCCTGAAAACGGACACATCAATTGTTCAACAGCTGATATCTCTTACAAGACAGTATGTTTTGTGACCTGCAATGAAGGCTATGAAATTGAAGGAAACAGCAAACTCACCTGCCAGGGAACCTCACAGTGGGATTCAAAGGAACCAAAGTGTGTGGGTAGGTATCTGATCTGACTCTGTTCATGTCAGAGTGCAGCCTTTTCTGATGTGCTGTCATGGGTGAGAAATTCTCCATTTTTTGATAACTGGTGAAGCTGAGATAGGTAGGAGAATTTGTTTATGGATGTTTTATACAGGTCTTTGAAGCTGGGGAAGGACAAAGGAATTTGTAAATGGAGAAAGTGGACAGATTATCATTTAAATCCAGCATGGACTGGTGATAACTGAAAGGTTGTTTTTGCTGTATTTGGTTAGTGTAAAAGCACTATCACACACTGTGTTGCAGGAAACACATGAATTGTAGGTTTATACTGTGGATTAAATGTGAACAAACGGGGGTTTGAGTTACCACCTTAAAGCTGAAGTTGATCTCCAAGCAAGGACTGATTTATGTTAGCCAGGCACTGTGAATGCGGAGTAAAGGTGAGGCAGTTGTCACTTCTGCTGAACTCCCAGCAGGAAACAAGAGTTTAGACAAGTTAGGAACTAAGCACCTATAAGTCAGGATTCAGAGGTCACACCAGTTGTGCAGGGTAGGTAAGCACATATTGCAGTTCCAGAAATAAAGGACTGTAGGCAGAAGTACACATTTAGACTAGGGACAGGTATTAAATTAACTTAGAAAAGTAAGATGATGAAATACAGTTGAAACACCTTCAAGGGTAGACAAAAAAAAAAAAGGCACAGGCTCAAAGTCCAGTAATTCAGAAGGTGATCTGGTGCTGACTAGTCAGGGTGTAGTAGGTGTAGTATATGTCACCTGGGTCCAGTAAATGTGATGCTGGGAGGGTGATTTCGCTTGAATTGTGCCTAATTTTTTATTTTTTTTTTCAGTTTTAAAAATGTGGACTTTGCATGAGGCAAGAATAAATTTCTAACTGTAGGCACATTCTTTAAAATGATGAAAATAATCCACAAGAATTAATTTATCAAGACAGTTTTTTAAGAGATCCTAATCTTTCTTCTGTTAAAGTCAGTGGAAAAAACTTCAATTAACTTCAAAAGGAAGGGACCCTGAAATCCTGTTGGAATATTATAATTGGAAGATTAACTGTATTCATCAGTTGAATTCATCCTTCCTAGCTTAGCATTTTGATTAATAAAATCCATCTCTACTTTGTATCAGAAGATTTGTTCACACCACACAATATTGCCTCCATTCCTGGCTTACACATGGAAATATCTTTTTTTTTGCTGAGTCTAAAAGTCTAGTATAAAAGTTACTTTTGATTGTCACAGAGGGAAGAGTGTTAGCTGGAAAGCATCTCCTCTGCTTCTTCTTGTGACTGGTGTTTAGGACAAGCTTGCTGAGATTATGGTTCAATAGCAATGTGTGGAGTTTTATTCAGGGAAGGATGCAAATCAGAAGGCTAATATTGTGTCCTCCTCAAAAATTACTCTTTATACTCATTTTCTGAATGATCACCGTTATCATGGAGGTTTGTCTGTTTATTTTTAGTCTGAACAGCTCCTATTATTTATCATCTGCTACATAAAAGGTACCAGAAATCCTGCTGTATTTAGGCCTTTGTAATTGATAATTTATTAATTTCAGATCCTTCTGTTAGAAAAATGAAATGGAATTGCCTTCAGTCTGTTATCTTGAACCAAATTTCTTGGACTTCAGGGTACTCTAGCTCGTTTTCTGAATGCCTTTCAGTTTGACTTCTCCTCTCTGCAAAGTTTGCCATATTTGCAAGTTATTCACTGAGACTGTACCACAGCCATCTGTAGCCATAATTGACACTGTACCATAACATTGCCTGGATTGTTTACAGTCACTTCTGTGAAGTCTGTTCTCATGCATCTTTTTCCAAGAGACTAGAAGCTAGTTCAGCAAGTATGGATATTACATATGTTTTAAATTTTTGTCTTTGTCATTAAAATTACTGTTAGCAATGAGCTACTATTGAGTAGGCTACATATATTATAGGTGGCTGACAAACAAAATATCTGCTGAGAAGGGAAGCTTTGTCATTTGTCCAATCTGGAGAAAAAAAATCCACAGTCATGTTCTTGTGTTTCCTTCCCATTGGCAGAAATTGAATATCCATCATGTTAAAATTAGTGAATTTTGCAAGATGCTGTTCTGTTTGCTTTGTTCAGTGTTTAGTGAAGAAAAGTAAAAATACAGATGGCATCCAGGGTGTTGATGCCACCTAGCGTTGAAAGAATTACTGCCCCACACTTCTAATTGAAGCTGGCCAATTTTTTACCCTGAAACAGTGCCTGCAAAGCAATTGAAGGGAAGAGGCATGATTTACTTTGTAATCTTCTTATTTGTCACAATATTGAAGTTCCTTTTAATGTTAAGACTTATAATGCAGTGTTTTGTTTCATCACAGGTGGTTGCAGGTGAAAACAGATTCTTGTCTCTCCTTAGAAGTACTTTTCTCTTTATTAATTCCCTATCAATATGACTAATATCATGGATATCATTCTGCTTCTCATTAATTCCAGACTTCTGGCTCAGCTTGATCAAATTTTGGAATTGAGCACAGATAGAAAAGCTAAACAACACTATTACAGTTGTTTTTCTGGTAAAAACCTACCCCACTTAAAAGAGATTCCCTTGGGCTAGATTTACTAAAGTTTATCCTGAATGTTTATCAATCGTTTCAGGATTGTGCTGTACTAGGATTTTGCTAGTGTACCTGGAAGTGTCTCAAGCAAGAGATAGGGCTGTTATTTCTTCCCAAAGAGCTGCAGTTTCCTCTGGTTTTCATGCTTACACCTTTCACAGAGTTTCTTGTACTAGTTTCCTGAGTAGTATACATTTTAATACTTCTAGCGTGTGCTTTCAAATACTGCTTTTCTAATTTGTGATCTTTTTGCCATTTGTCAGTTACCTTCCTGTGGTAAGCAACCAAAAGATAGGGTTTGTTGGGTTTTTTTGTTTTTCTCATGAAGTTGTTCCACCTTGCAGAGCCGACAGTATCTGCCTGAACTGGACAAATATGTTATCATTTGTGACCTTTACATCCTATTAAAAAGAAGCACAGTTTTTAATTGCTTAGACTTTAAACACAATTTCAGTATTGAGGGTTTAAATTTCAGGAATTACATAGAATTCTTTCAATCTTTAAATTTTGTTTCATGCAGAAGAACCAGTTTTCAGTTATTTGCTACATATTTTGGGAGAGGAGAGAGAGGGAGGGGAGGGGACAGAATGGGAGAACAGAGGAGGGGAGGGAGGGAAGGGAAGGGGAGGGGAGAGAGGTATTTTGAATGTGAATCACTTCTCTGTCATTAAACCATTGGTAAGAGATGAGCAGAGCTTCCCTTCTGTATAGCTGGGTTGAGTTGTTTTTTGTGTGCCCTTGGTCTGCTCTCTTCACTGACAAACTATAAAGAGTTACAAGTCTTGTCATTGACTCTGAATAATGGAGAATTCTTCTTGTGTGTTTGTCTACTATCTATTGTAAGAAACACTGCTGAAAGTCTATGAACTGCATTCATTTTGCCCTCTTTGTTAATGCCTCCATGTTTGAAGTAAAAATGACATCACACAGTATGAATGAAGAATTAAACCTCAAGAATGAAACTTCCATTTTAAACCTTTAAGGAACCATCAGCCCTTCCTGATTATAGAGAGAAACTGTAGAGAGTTCACGGCAGGGTGTCTTTCTTCCCTCATTCTTATTTCAAGATAGAATGCAGAAGCTGTAGAAAGCTGCAGATACATTCCCTCAGTCTTGCTATGGTCTGGTTTTCATAGAAGGCAAGGGAATGCAGGGGAAAAGGAAAAAAAAACCAAACCCAGAGGGTAAGATATAGTGGATCTACATGAAAAATACCATGTTTCTCTTCCAGTGAAGAGCATGAGCAAGAAAACAGAGGAACTAATATCCTGGGTGCTGTTTACTTCAGTCAACGCTGGAGTACAAAGTTTTGTCGGGTCTTACTGTTTTGATGCACTCATACACGTACAGACTTAAAAAGACTGTGTATCTTGTGTTCCCGCTAAGTTTCCGTATGACTTTATTTGCAGATTTTTTTGATTGTGTAGTTTGTGTGAGTTACAAGTCATGTCCTACTGTTCTTTTGCAGAAAAGCGTTGTCCCATCCTCCAGAAACCAGCAGGTGTGACAGTTCTCCCTCCCAGATGTGGGCTGGAGCCTGCTGTTTCTGGGACTGTGTGCCGGCTGAGCTGTCCCCAAGGATTCATCTTGTCTGGAGCTAGAGAAGAACTAAGGTGCATTTCATTTGGGAGATGGAGTGCAAACATCCAGGAGGCTCTGTGTAAAGGTAGAGACCAGCACAAAATCATGTCTGTGTACATGTGTGCAGAATTGAAAGGAAGCACACAGCAGATAACTGAGTGAGGACAGGTTTGAGCTGGGGAAAGTGTGATTTAAACAGTGTATAACAAGTGTTGCCTGTACCTCTATAGCTTGGTTGTCAGATTTAATTGTAGTTTGTAATAAAAATGTGGAGTTCAGAGGTCACTCAGGTGTCACCTTATAGTGCTCATCATCAGCTGCCTTTTCTGGGATGAATCTCATGAGTCCATTGTTGGGAAGCTGCCTGATAAAAGGCCTGATCTGCAGGGAAGTTTCAAATTTCAAAGTAGAAGTAAAAGCTCTTAGCTTAAAAATAGTCAAAGTGGAACCCACACTTCTAGTAAAATAACAGTGATAATAATATTGCTACTGGTTTAGCACAAGTTTATGTAAACCCTCTAGTCAGAGCAAAACTGTGAATGCCTTGTAAACCCTGGCTGATAGACTATAGAGGAATGTTCATTTCAGTTGTCTTTGATCTGACTATGTCTGTTGACATGTCCCAAGCCATGGTGCACAAGAGTTAAGGCCAAAATTGTCTAACACAAGTGTATTGGCTGACACAAGTGTATTGGTGGAGAATAGGTTGAAGATGGTTACATGCATTTTGGAATGGTTCTGCCATGTTTACCCACCTCTTTTAGGAATGTTAGGCTGTTTATTCCCTTTCACACACGCACAACTGGATTGGAAGGATTCTGGTTTTGGATTATAGCAGAATAAAACCAAAAGTGCAGTCTGTCAGGGAATATGCTATTCACCTCTTCCTGAAATGTTGTTCTCCTAAAATTATTATTTTTCTCCCCCGGCTGAGGCCCTCGACAGCCACTGGGTGAAAGAAAAGTACAGAAAACAGTTATAGCAGTCATCATGCCAGGTCACTACAGAAACTGAGGCTTTTTTTCCCTGTAAAGGCCAGGAAGATTTTATCCCCCTCTTTAAACGTACTATTTTCCACTCTGTGATGTACCACATTGTTTTTCTGAATCTTTTGTGTAAACCTGTGCCAAACCACAGCTTTTAATATTTGATGGGATCCTAGCATAAGATTACAAGCTGAAGTGTTCAGATAAAGGTAAAACAGCATGGCTTGGGTTCAAGTTTTTACGTATTACCAATGAATAAAGCCAATGAATGAAGTAGGAGGCACTGAGAAACTATGAAGGTTATTCTTTTTTAGTAAAAATGAACAGTTGCATTTCAGTTGCTTTCATTCTTGTTATTATCTTTCTCTGTTTTGCTGCCAACATAGTTGGCCAGTTCAAAGTAGCCATTTTCTTTATGATTTATTTATTATTCGTCTTTTTACAGAATTTCACTTTTAGATGGAATTTGCCCCAGCCTGGAGGCTGTGGTCAAAGGAGTGTGAACCATAACTGGTAGTTACTTATAAGAGTGCATTTGTAATAAAACTTTCATCTGAATCAGTTCAGAGGAAGACAAAATCACTTGTATTTATTGCTTTGCATTCTTAACTATGGAATTTAATTGCCTGAGTTATGTCTTTACTGGAATTATTTAGTAATAAAAGTGTAAGTGATATCAGTTCTGAGTTGTTTTAAAGCCTATTGGGCATAGATGAGTTCAGAGCCAAATGTGTCCTTGTCTCATGAGTCTAGAAACCATTTATCAAGCAGCACTACAGCAATGAAATAACCTGACCACAAATGTTTTGGGAGGCCCTGTGCCAGGAAACTGAAGAAGTACTTCAAATTTGTCAGAGAAGCTTGAGGCTTAGATGTTGGTGGTGATGTTACCCATATTGTATCACCACTCCTTCGAAACCATCCAGCATTGTCACCTGTCACCAGAAGACTCCATTTGTCCTACATAATGCCATATAACAGGAGTTTATTAAGGAGCATTTCCAGCAGCTGCTCCCCAAATTCTTGCCATTGGTTCTTTCGAGTCAGTTCCACACCATGCTCCAGAGAATTTGAGTCACTAATGTCTTGTTCATAGTATGTATATCATGTCACAAATACTTAAGAGTTTTTTTGAGTCACTGATTATCTGAAGCAAGTATTTTTGTCTGTATGTGTCATGTGTGTGGATAGTGAAAGGATAGAGAAGGAAGGGATGAATAATAAAAGAAACAAATTAATTCTTATTTATTCCTAGTTTTTTGATTCTGTGTAGAAGTAAGTCTCATTGCGCTCAGTGATGTAAAAAAATACAACAAAAATAAGTCCTTTCCCCAGGAAAATTTACTATTGAGGTAGGAGCCAATAGGCAAGAATTAAGAAGGGGCAGAGATAGGAAGTTTGCAAAAATATGTACATTTATATTCCAGGCAGTATGAAAAACAGTGGTTTTAACAAGTTTCAGTCTAACCATTACAGACATTTTAGTTCTGTGATCCCGCATATAAAACTATTTTGTCTTTTTCTGGGTCAGATATTGAAGCGCCTCGGATCCACTGTCCAGACAATATTGAGACTGTGACTCTGGAACATCATAACTCTGCTAATATCAGCTGGCAGGTACCAACAGCTGAGGATAACTCTGGAGATGAGGCAAGTTAAAATCTATATCTGTTTGACTGGAGGCAGTCTTTCTGATTTCAATTAATTTTATGATTCACTAGAATTTCTTTGTTCTGATAAATAGGAGTAGAAAAAAAAACTGCTAGAAAGTTTGTATCTTAAAAATTTAGCATTTTCTGTCTTGATTAGAATTATGAGGTACAGGACACTGCATGGATTTTCAGTGCATGAAACCTCATATGGTTAATTTATGTGGTCAAAAGAAAGAATGTGCCCTTGTTTACAAGATGGAGACATCTGCTTTAAAAATGAGCACTTAGAATGTCAAGAAGTTTAATAAACTCTTCTCAGAAGGAAGCAAACCAGTTCATTAATCTAAAAGGTTAACAAGTACACAGTGTGATAAGTAAAAACTCATTTCAGCTTTCTGAGTGAGAAAGAGAAACCTCATTTTCCTGTGCGAGTTCAGAAGTGGGCCTTTGGCTACTTATGGGTATTAGAGATCTGGAAATGGAGTTACAAGGAAAACTTGCTCCAGAGCTGTTTCATAAAGAGTAACATTTCCTACAGGCTCATACATGATCCATTTACAGCAACTGAATGCTTTATCAGTAGTCAGCAGAGGGACAATGAGTCTGTGTGTGCTTTTAATTTACTGCAAACACAGGAGTTTTTTGCGCTAAGAAGTTGAGCTATCCCAGTAAAAGATATTTAAGTTCACACTTTCTTTTTATGTAGCATAGTCATGGTCAGGTACTGTAGCTCTGCTGGCACAGAGTCATTCTTTGAAATGTGGAAGTTAAGTGCCTTAGCTCTTAGTTGTAAGAAGTTTGTCAAAATCGTGGCTGTCAGGTGAACTAACTGCTGTTTTACATGTGAAACCATTTCTTTTAAAGACAAATTCCTTAAGACAGGTCTAAGCCATATGAAAAAGCCACAGACAGTATATGTGTCATTTACTCCAAATGTAAAGTTCCTTTGCTGTGCCAAAACATATTGAAGCATCTGTGGGCTAATGACTCATACACGTATTTAGATCAAAACTGGATATGTAAGTACTTATAGCCCTCATTTGTCTCCTCCACTAATTTCCCAGGTCTGCTGCCCTTGCAGCTGGGGAACTGAACTGCAGACAGGTTCTGAGCTGATGTAGTTTGTGTTCAGTGCAGTTAGGCAAATGAAGTTTTTTAATGCACACTACTGTAAACTGCAGCAGGTCAGGGTCCAAATCCTGACTGAGTAAATCCCTGTTGCTATACAGAAGGCAGACTTAAGAAAGGGGATAGAGTACTCTGTTGCAAAGTCCATCCTCATTACTTTGAGAGACTATTTGTATTAAGAATGAGTAGGCTTAACATTGAAGGATACTATTCTGTCAATTTTTTGAAACATGAATATCATGATTAGTAACCAGCTTTGGTTTTTAAATAACAACTGTTTTCCTGTAACAGGTCTCAGTTCGTGTTACCCCAGCTTTCATACCACCATTTCTTCTCCCAATTGGCAAAGTTGACATTACTTACTCAGCAACTGATAAGTCGGGCAATGAGGCAAGCTGTACGTTCAGTGTCAAGGTTATTGGTAAGTGCTGTTAAAAGTCACTGAGGAAGTCTGCCTGTCATGTTTGAAAACTTCTGATTAGTGCAGAAAGAGACTGGGAGTCACTGTGGCCCTTATACGTACAGTCATAAGCCCAGGAGCGTTATCATCTCCGCAAATCCCTTGCTGATCTTTGGTCACTGTTTGCATAGTGTGCAGTCGTTGCTCACAATGTTTGGTTTGGGTTGTGTGTCATTCTGCCATTCATTCTGAATGTTAAGATTTCTCCTCACACTGGTATATTAACTGCTTTATTGTGTTGTCACTTACTGCCTTCATCATATATCTGTATTTAATTCTTGAAATACTCCAACAGGATTTCCAAGGTTTGCACACATTGCTGATGCAAATCATTGCTAAAGTGTTTCTATCAGACAGTTGTGTTATTCAGCAGTCCTGTAGGTAGTCCAAGGTTTGCTCTGTAGAAAGCAAACACTGCAGAAACCATGAGTTCAGTAGAAGAATTAGTCTTGTCCATTCACTCAGCATCTTCCAATTGCAGAAGCTTCCAGGTGTGCACCTTTATTTTATCTTCTGATATGAGCTTAAAACTGCTGCTTACCTAACTTCTGATGATAGATGCCATTTGAGTTTGGCAGTAGTTCTGTAAGCTAATGTCATGCCATCCTTTCAAATTCTGCAGATGTAGAACCTCCTGTAGTTGACAGATGCAGATCTCCACCACCCATGCAAGCAGCAGAGAATGATTACCCAGCAACATGGGAAGAACCAGAATTTTCAGACAATTCAGGTGAGATAGTGCACCCCAAAACAAGCATGCAACAGTAGAAGGCTAGAGAACCTGTTCACTTGTTTGAGATTTTTTTATGTTTCTTTTATTTATTTGTTTTCAAGAACACTTAATTTTGAAGATGTGCTGCCGTTTGCTTTTCCATTCATCAAGATTGGGTGTCAGTAACCCTTTTTTACTTACTGATGTTTTAGATCGTCTTTTGACTCTTCTAGGTGGTCCGTTAACTGTCACTAGGAGTCATGCACCTGGAGATCTCTTTCCCAAAGGAGAAACAACAGTTCAGTACACAGCTGTGGATCCTTCTGGAAATAACAGGACATGTGAGATCCACATTGTCATCAAAGGTTTGTTGTCTTCATCTCCTGCTCAAGACCATATGCCGTTGATCTAATTGAATATCATAAAGGATGCCGGAATGCTCCACTTTTTCATTTAGTCTCCACTTTTTCATTTAGTTATTTCCATTTTATATTGGAGTCACTTGAAGGCAGTCAGGATATTTGTTAGTATCAACAAATAAATTGTCTAAGACTGAAACAGCACAATAGTGAATTTGGCCCTATAAATTCAAATTTGAATGTAAAAGCATTAAAATTATGATTCATTAAGCAGTAAAACTTATAGAAATGGATTCTTTTTTTTTTATATGACAGATACCATGTGAGCTGTATTAATACATAGTTACTCCAGTCTTGTTTCAAATCTGTAATTAAAAAGGAAAACTTTCTGCCAAATTTTCTTTAGTCACCTACAAGTATTGTAGCAGATAATAGAGCACTCTTTAGATTTTAGAATCTGTCTGTACCTATAGATATACTACTGCATTTTGTGTACTGCGTAGACATCTTTTCCTCACAGTCCACTTTCTTCTTTAAAGTCCAAACAATAATTTGGCAGATAAAGTATTAAGGATGAAAATTCTACTTTCTAGTTTTTATATCTCAGCTGGATATCTGTATAAAAAGATCAGTTAGTGAAGAGAGAATTTAAAATCATGCAGACTGGCATTTTGGTTATAGCTTTTAGAAACCATAAGTTGCAAATTGATGTGCTAGTCTCTGATTTGCTCTAAATCTTAGAAAGAACAAGCCAGTGCTTAGAATTGACATTATTTCAAGTTCTATACCACCTTAGACTTTTTGTGGTTCAGTATTTGTCACATAATGTTTTCAGATGTTCACAACCTCCTTCACAATAGGAAATATAAGCAAAAAAATTGAATAGCTGAGGTTTTACAGTCAGTTCCCCCTAAGATTATTTTGACAAGTTCATGTGTTGTTGCAATGGTGCAAGATAGATAATGTTTAGTTTCAGAATTCAAGATGTAATTTAGTTTACTAGAATTCATTGTATGTAATTCATGTTAAAATTTAGATTAATGTTTTATATTATTTTAGTAAATAGTTTCTCATATGTATCACAACCTTTTTTACCGTCTTTGTGTTTCTGGATTTCAAATTCCAGTGGCAGGATTTGAGAATTATTTAGCAGTAGCCTGATCTTGACTTTGTGGAAGTAACAAATAATACTTCAACAGAAGCAAGATCAGGTTAATACTAGGTACTTTTGGAAACCCTCTCAGTGCCATTTTCCTGCAGGATCACTTATTTCACCACATTCATCAATATATAAATCTTTGTATTGTTTACAGGTTCTCCCTGTGAAATATCCTTTGAGCCTGTGAATGGGGATTTTATATGCACATCAGATGAAGCAGGAGTTAATTGCACATTGCACTGCGCAGAGGGTTACAGCTTTTCGGAAGGATCAAGTGAAAACTACTATTGTGCATATGAAGATGGTCTCTGGAAGCCACCCTACTCTCCAGAGTGGCCTAGCTGCTCTTGTAAGTCTTACTGTTACTAAAATAAATCTGCAACTCACCAAACACTGTGTTTAATGATAAAGTAAATAAAAATGTTTTAGAAATTTTGACTTCTATTTCATTATAACAAATGTCCGTCCACTGCCTCTGAGTTGTTACAAATATTATGAAATAATGCTTGGAAGTCTGTAAATGTGTTACTTCAGAAGCTGTCTGAAACACAAGTATAGCAGTGAATTTGAATCCTAGGAATCACAAAACAGCAAAGACGCAAAGCAGACAGGTTAATTGAAACAGTTTTTTTACAAACACTAACAGAGTCTTTTCAATAAGAATAACCAGAGTATTTGCAACTTATTGATCCAAATGTATAGTGTGCGCTCTATTTACATATCTAATTACCACCAGATCAGAAGAGTTCATGTGTTTTCTTTGAGCTGGACACATGCAAAACTTCAGCTGTGGAATTTTCCACCTTTGGTGACATTTTTAAGATGAATATATTAGAATTACATTTGAAGCCAGTCTTTGTACCATGTTGCATCCATTTCCATCAAAGTTGATTTCTTGGTTTCAGCAAAAAAAGAGCAGTGTTTCAGCTATGAACAAGCAAGAGTTATGTTTCAGAGCTATTTATCAATTCAGAATCTGTAACTTGGACACTTAGGAACTTAACTCTGATTGAATTCTGGCTGATAATTTTCCATATTTAGCCTAGCAGCATTAGTAATAAGAGTTTTAATATTTATTGCTTCCCTCTCAGTAAAAAGTAAGTATGGAGTTTGTTGACAGCTTACAGGTTTCTTCCCTTAAGAAAATGCTGAAGTACATAAATGACCTTTCTTTTCATGTCTTCTAGCTTTTCCAGTAGATTTGATGCCTGCCAAAGGGTTGTATTAACTGCATTGGCTGAGATATGAGTGATCCACTTAGGCTGCTGATTTAAAGACAGTGCTTCTTACCTTATTGTATTCCAGTTTCAGCCTGAATTATCTTGATTTTAGCTATAAAGCTTTTGCACTGATCAGTAAAAATTTATTTCTCCAAAATTTTTCAGTAAATCGTTTTGCAAACCATGGGTTCAAATCCTTTGAGATGCTCTACAAGGCAACACGATGTGATGACAACAATCTTCTAAACAGATTTACTGACGCATTCCAGAGTGCACTTGGTAAAATGGTAGGTTAGTAAATACTCCTTCCCTTTATATACTTCTTAAAAATATACATAATTGTTATTTTTTCCAGTTAACTGATTTTGTACAAGGAAAGTAACTCATAAATGAGATCTGTGCTTTTTCAGATGATGACAAGTCATCTTTAAAAATAAAGATGATTCCCTGGCATTGTAATGTAATTCAGCTTAGTCTTCAATGTGGAATTATATGGGACAGCATATATGTCCAAGTAGCTTAGGAATCTGCAGGTAGATTTTCAGTAGGCTTCCAAATAGAACCTGTGCAGTTTTGAAAACCCCAGTAAATTGTCCCCTAACCTCAGTGTTGTTTTTGAAAGTTGGATGTGATAGTAAAATAAATGCATTTTATATAGCATATGTGTGATATATATCCATATAATATGAATGAACATACATATACAAATGGATAATTCCACATTTGGTGTGTATGTCCAGGCACTTAAATCCAGTAGTAGTGATTTGCTTGGGTTTCTTGAGGTTACAAGTTCTCAGTCTTGTCATTCAGAGCTGCATGGTCCTGAATTTGAAGAGGTACCATGTTACTTTTCTACCATGTCTCTTGCTTTCCACTTCAGTATCACAATCTCCCTTCTTAAACCACAAATCTGTCCTCAGCTGAAAAGCAGAAACAGCAGAACTTTTAGTTGTGGTCTCAGGAGTGGGTGTCCAGGCCAAGTGTGACAGCATTGTTCCAGTAGAGAACACTGGCTTTTTGCAGAACATGGCTCATATGCAAATAAAAGCTTTTCTTGTAACTAAAGAACATTGTTAGCACATACAGCTAATTGGCAAATTCCTTCAATTTTGGAATATATGCCAGTAGCCCCTGTCAAATGGCTGGAAACTTACATAACACATCAGACAATGTCTGACGCTGATGCTTGGACCTAAATCTCTGTTAATCTCTTGCCTTGCTTCAGGTTTATTCTCTTCCAGTAGAGAAATCTTGACTGGTTTTATTTCTGTTTCTTTCCCCTAAGAGCCCAATACAACCAGGTTCCAGTGGTTAGACAGTTACTATTGGGAAGCAGAAAATAAAAAGGAAAAAATACATAGTGAGCTTCCAAGCAATTACATCAAAATGCAACGGTCTGGGAAAACATTCAAAAAGGCTGTTTTGAATATGCTTATTCCTATTTCAAATTCCCAAGAATTTGAAACTCTAGCAGAGATCTGAAAAGGGGGAAGGAATGGGCAGGAGCCATCTTTCCAATGAAAGTTGATATGGAAAAAACAGAACAATTTCAAAACATGACCTAGGGCCAACTTGCTTCAAACCTTTCTGGAAAAAGCAAGAAATACATACTTTATCAAAAATCATGCAGTCATCTATTCATGACTAATCTCCACTGCTTTTATGGAGGGAAGAAATAAATGATACCACAAAGGTTTCTATTGAGTTTTCTGTTTTGTGATTTCTGTCCTCCTGAGATTATTTTATCTGTCCTCTGAGGTTTTTTGGTGCATGGGTCCTTTTCCATGGATAGGGAGAGGTGGACATGAAGAAATAAGGTTTGAAAGCTAGAAAAAAGTGCCAGCATTGTTGTCAACATGACAGAATTACAAGTAACATAGTTGGAAAAACCACAGATGCTTTTAAACACGTGAGCTCAGCTGTCATCTTTTGTAGGGAGAAACAAGCCTGAATTTATTTCTGTATTCTGGGATTTCACATGCAAGAGTGGTTAACTGAATTGACATCTCTTAAAAATAATAGATCTTCTATAACAAAAAGTTTGCACACCTGCAAGTTGCCCTCTTATTTCCCAGTTTTATCAGTAGAACATGCTTCTTTCAGCTGACCTTGCCAAGGTTGTAAGAGACATGGAAGGGGAAATCTGATGTCAGTGGCAGAAGCAGTGCTTTACATTGTAACTAATTTTTTTTAAGTTAGTGGAGAGGGCTATGTGGTTTTATGTTTTTTAATGTTATTCTTCTTTATCTTGGAAGGTCCCATCATTCTGTAATGACGTTGATGATATTGACTGCAGATTGGAAGATCAGACACAGAAACATTGCTTGGAATATAATTACGATTATGAAAATGGGTTTGCCATTGGTAATTATGGATTCCATAGATTTTTAGCCATCCAGGTTTAATACAGCATAATTCCTGCAAAAATGTCTTCTACGAGATACTTTTTTAAAATAACTGTGGCACTTGTAATGTAATAAGAAATTACATCATAGGTTTTATAAAAATATCGTGTAACTGATGTCTGGTATTGATGCTACTTGCTATACAGTGTAGAGGTTTGCTGAGGTGCCTCATGGTGGGGAGGGGAGAGAAGGGCACACACACAGAGTCTTAGAAACCTGCTTGGTTAGCCTACAAGAAAGAAACTTTTTAAAAATGTGCAGTTTCAAACCAAAAGACTAAAAAAGTACAATAAATTGTTTTGGAGATTGTTGTGAAAATGAAGAGCATCTATGATGCTGGTTTGAATCTGCACAGAACCCTCACTGTGTAAAGTTATACAAGCTTAAGTTTGCCCAGTAATTGTGAAATTACATCCTGTGTGCAAGGGCAGGTTTTGCACCATGACTGCAGCTGTATCAGAGTGAAAAGAGTGACAGTCCTTGTGTCTTGTGGCAGTGATTGTTTTATGACAAGTTGTCATTTTCAGTCCATTTTCAAACAGGTTAGTGTCCATGTTGTACTGCTGTTGTCCTTGGCCTTTCTGAGTCCCGTGGGGGTGCTCAGAGCAGAAAAGCTGAAAATGGGTAACTTATATTACCTGTCTGAGCAGAAGGCATTTTGTCAGGTCCACATCACAATGTGTACTCTGTCACAGGACTGTGTTTCTTTTACAGGTTTATAGTGGAGTTAGTTGGTAGAGTTTCCTGCTTGTGCTCACCTTTTAGACATGCTTCACTCAGTCTGAGAGCACATTTGTTTGTGTTCAGACGTGGGGCAGGGCTGGATGTTCAGTCTGCAGTTGTCATCAGGGTAAGGACAAATGCTGATGACAGCTGGAACTAACCTGTAAGGGCATTTGGAAGAAACAGTGTTAAGGACATGGAATGTGGGGTCCTATTCTCTTCTGGTTCATTACAACCTCTTACCAGAGTAACCTTGTTGCTGTTTTTCAGGAATTTCTCATGATTTACACTGGGGAGGCAGGACAGGAGAACTCTCCTCAGGTCATAAGAGACAGCAGTTTAGAAAATTAGTTGTGGAATACTCATACAGTATTACCCTCAAAGTTGTGGGGTCAACTTGTCCTAGTTTCCACTGTAAATTAAGCCAAATTTAGTTCACTGCTAAGAGGTAATTGGCAGATTTTTTTTCCTATGTTTATGTTTTTTAAAAATAAGCTAGATCAATGAAATAGACCATGCCTCTCTACAATTAGTCAATATGAAGAAGTAGATTATACACAGAAACAATTGTTTGTTTCTGATTTAAAGCATGTTGCAGGTGAAGGATATTATACAGGGGCTGAATTTGGCTCTCTGCATAACAGAAAATGCCTGTCTGGAGGTAATGAGCACATAAGGTGATGCCTTTTTTGAGAGGCCAGACAATGTTACAACTGTTCAGGAGTTGTGAGAAGATGCAAAGGAGACATGACATAGGCTGTGCTGTCTGTAATTAAGCAGGAAGAGGAAGAAAGAGCAATATGGAATTGTTTAAGATGTTGCTGGCAGGTGAGAGTGAATACAAGACAGAGGAAGAAAGAATTACAGTATGTAACTTTTGTAACTATTTCTCTAAAGCTTGGCTATCTGCACAAGACTGAAGATCTCTACCATATCAGTTAGGAATGAGATTGGTTTTTCCTTTTCATTAGTCAAAATGAGGGTACAATAGGCACTTGTGAGGAGACAAAGTCAACAGTCATCATCTGAAGTTTCAAACAGACCCCATTCTCTTGGGGTTATATTTTAGAAATCAGTAGAGGTATTTATTTTCCACATGATGTTGTTTCTCTTTTTGTTCTTTCTTAATGTCCCACAGGACCGGCTGGCTGGGGGACAGCAAACCACCTGGATTATTCGTATGGTGATTTTGTTGATGCAGCACAAGAAGAAGACTTATCCAAGCATCTCTCCGCCTCTGTAAAAGCAGCACCTGCTCGCATCAAAAGGCATAAGCTGAATGTTCCACTGACTGACCAAAAAATCAAGTTAATATTTAATATCACAGGTGAGAGAAGTGAAAATATTGTCCTCCACTTCCTTTTTAAAAATAGTGTTTCAGTACATTCAGTAAAACTTCTTCAGTTCACAAAAGCCTGGTGAAGATGCAGATGACAGTTTTCTGGACACAGTCGTAGCCCCATTTCATCACAGACTTTCTGCTTGAGGGAAAGATCACAGCCTCATATTCATGGAGGGCTTTGTGCTTTCCACTTTCCACTGACAAGCTTGAGTGATGCCCTCGATATATTCCAGAGTACGGTGGAAGTGCTGACTGTAAAATCTGTGTGTTTTCGTGTTTGCTGTTTATATTCCAGCTAGCGTGCCACTGCCTGATGAAAGGAATGATACATTGGAACTGGAAAACCAGAGACGGCTCCTTAAAACTCTGGAAACAATCACGAACAGGCTGAATAGAACTCTCCATAAAGAACCCATGTATTCTTTTCAGTTTGCATCTGAACTCATTGTAGCTGACACCAACTCACTGGAGACGGAGAAGGCCTTTCTTTTCTGCAGGCCTGGTTCTGTGCTGAGAGGAAGAATGTGTGGTAAGCCAGACGACTTGTTTCTTACATGTATTTGGAATCTTTTTGCAAAGCAAGGTTTTAGAGGATGTTTGCAGAGGGTTATGATTTGACACAGTCCAGAGATTGTGTCTCTCATAACAATAAACTGCAAAAATGCTTTGCACAGTTTGACTTCCAGAGAATGTTTATGTTCCTAACTAAGGCCTGTGGAAAAAAGGATGCTTTTGTACCCAGAATTCCACTCCCATGGGGAAATCAGGCATATCCATGCTTGGTCACACACAGAAAACAGTGCTTGGTATGCAGTCTTTCAACCCTGTTAGTCTTGTGAGTGATGCGTAGCTAAGATAGGGAATTGGATTCCATTTCCTGTGCATAGTTAAATTTTTGCAGTGTTCCAGAGAGATACCCCATCTGCTGAGGAACAGAGTCACATTTCATATAAACACAGTTTGACTAAATGGGAACTTCCAGGGGCAAGATTTTTCACTCTGAAGGAAACTTATGTTTCCAACATTACAGTCAACTGCCCTTTGGGTACCTATTACTCCCTGGAGCATCTTACCTGTGAAAGCTGCTGGACTGGATCCTACCAAGATGAGGAAGGGCAGCTGGAATGCAAAAGTTGTCCATCTGGTAGCTATACTGAGTATCTACACTCTAGGAGCATCTCTGAATGCAAAGGTGAGAACTTCTGTCTTATTCAGACAGCCACTTCTGAATGCTTGGTGATATCCTTTTGTTCCCCATGGTGGAAGTACGGGGGTACTTCATACTGGTGTGAGATGAGGAGCATTCCTAATTGTACCTTGGTACACATGTATAGAGAAAAATCCAAGTTTTCACCACTGGTGTAGCTTGCAGGATGCCTGGGTAGATGTTTTAAGAAGAGTAGGCCTTTGAAGATTTGCTTCATTTCTGTCTTTCATTTCTGAGAATGTGATCCCATTTTGCAGGGACTAATAAACTTAAAATAATATCATTTTTGTCATTGCCAGCCCCACTCCACTACAGTGCTGAGACATTGAACAGCTCAGAACCATTATCTCTTCGTGACTTGTTCTGAAAAAGAAGTTGGTAGTTTTATTTCCTTTTTGTTGTCTTATCATTAATTTTTTTGATAGAAATGAGTTGCAGTAGATTATCTGTGAAGCTGATTGGAGGAGAATTCACTGGTTAATAATTCACAAATGCACTATCAGTAGCTTACCACAATTGTCTTTTTTTTTGCTCTTTGTACCCATGAAGTCCTTCAGAGTAGAGTAAACTCCAGAAATAAAAGTCCTTGTGACATGTAGTGTGATTTCAGCATTATTTTCAGAGATCGGAAACCATGTTGGAGATTTGCTTAATATTTCAAAATTCTTCTGCCTTACAGCTCAGTGCAAGCAGGGAACGTATTCATCTAATGGTCTTGAGACCTGTGAAACATGTCCACTTGGAACATATCAGCCGGCATTTGGATCCAGGAATTGTATCTCTTGCCCAGAAAATACATCAACAGTAAAAAGAGGCGCAGTAGATGTCTCAGCTTGTGGAGGTTTGTAACAAAAGGAGCAATGAGACTTTTTTTAAACTAAATACTAAAAATTTCCAAGTTGTTGTTTGAACATCAGCTAATGTAATTCAATACATCTGCCTGAGATTGAATTCCTCTTGTGGTTGAGTGTGGACAAAGCAACATTTCTCAGCAAAATGATAGGTCATTTCCTGATAAACTGATAATTTCGGTTGCCCTCCTCCTGATTTCCAAAGTGGACTCTTATCTAAAGATAAATAAAATTAGATACATGATGGGTACCAAATGAAAATAAAACCTTCTTCCTTACAGAAGAGAAAGGGAATGATATTTGTCACTGTTATCTCTGGAACAGCTTCCACATTTTCTGTAAAAAATACTGAATTTTAACAGAGTTTGTTCCATAATGCTTTCCAAGAAATTCTCCTCATCTGTCTTGGACAAGCTTTGCCAGAAGGATTCCCAGGGTAAATAATCTGCAGGGATTGATGGTACAAAAAAGCCTTTTCTTCATCATTACTCCTTCTCAAAGGAAAAAAATTAAAACAGGTGTGAGAGATAAAAGAGAAAGGAAGTTCCATTTGAAAGCTGCCCCCAGAGCAGCAAAAGTAGTAGAATTAAATACTTCCCTGATATTTCCATAGCCCTTTGCGAAAGACATGTCACCTCACAGAAGAATTTAAATAGGCATTTCCTAGAGTTGTGAATTCCTGGCAGGTTTCATCCTGTTCCTTTTAAGTTTAAGGAGGGACTATGAGGGGAGGAAAGTGATCAAAAATAGGTGAGGGAAGGTAGGGTGGAGATGCAAGAGATCAGATCACTCAAAAAATTGGCGTTTTTTTCTTGCAGTACCATGTCTTGCAGGCGAGTTCTCTCGTACAGGTTTGACACCTTGCCACCCTTGTCCCAGAGACTACTATCAACCAGACCCAGGAAAGTCCTACTGCTTGTCTTGCCCCTTTTATGGAACAACTACTGTCATTGGTGCCAGATCCATCACAGATTGTTCAAGTAAGCCAAATTATCTCTGCTGGATAAAGTGAATAAAGGGATAATATAAGGAGAGCCATCAGTGGTCTTAACAGAAAGCATCCCACTTACTCTCTTCGCAAATGTAGACCTTTGATTCCAACCAGTGAAGTTCACAGCTGGTTCTGCCTACTGATGTTGCCTTACAGTCACAGGAGTGACTGTGTGAATCATACCCAGGCTCAATAAACAGAGTATACATATGCAGAAAGTGAGTGTATGTGTACACTGTGTATATATATATATGTATGTTTTAGAAATGTATGTCTTTACAAATACATATTTGTGTAACAGTACTGTAAAGTTTGCTTTTTATTCCCACAAATTCACTTTTTTGCAGCATATCTTTAGATGCATTTCTAACATGCAGTTATAATGCCTTCATGGAATAGGGACCTTGCCCTACAGTGTCATTAACAGTACTTTCATATCTTTCTTCTTTAGGTTTTGGCTCTACTTTTTCAGCAGCTGAGGAAAGTGTAATGATGGTACCAGCCTTGCCAGAAAATATCAGCAAACAGTACAAAGTCAGCAGTCAGGTAAGGACAAGTGTTATTTATCAGTACTATCTCGAATGAAAGAAAAAGTGCTTTATGCAGCAGTGAATGACTAAGACCTTTTCTAATGTCATTGTTTTGCTGACAATATTTCCTGAAGAGATGGAAGCAATGGTTTAGGGGGGAACACTCAAACTCTCTTCATAATCATAGAAATACTTTCATTGAACAGGGGAGGTGGCATCAGCTGTTGACAATATTTAATTTTGGAATTAAAGCCTTCACCTGATGAATGAAATATTTATTACACTTGTAAACTACACAGAAGATGTTCAGCCAATATATAAAAAGTAGATTGACTATACTCAGTCATCTAAGGTCTTCTATATGCTGAATTCCAGAAACTGCTACCAATCATCTTAATCTCAGTTGTAAAGTCTTGAGTTTACATATACTAACATACACTTGAGAGGAGGCAAACAGAGCTCCCTTCTACTGTGAGTACTCCTTTTGAAACACAGGCAAATCCTTGTGTGAAACTACTCTAATGACAATGTTTGCCAGAGATGCCTCCCACCATCTCACCCCCAGTGTGTAACCCTTGACAAGGGTGCTTTGATTGAGTCTAAAATTGGGATATTGTGTAAACAGGGGCAAAGTTGACTCATGATAAATTTGGCCTGAACCATTGTATAACATAGGGACAGATGACAAGCTTATCTCCTGTGGTTTTAGTTGATCATTTACTCAAGGGCTTTGATGCATTCAAGTTTGCTACAATAGAAGAAATAATGCCACACAGTGAAGTTCTGTGCCAGCTGACCTGATGGCCAGTAGCAGGAAGTGACTAGCTGATGTCAAAGGAGGCAAAGTGGAGAATTCACAAATAAAGGATATCTTAATATAAAATAATAAGAATCATAGCTAAGAAAGTTATGAGGGAATAACTGTGACAGTCACATTTTGCTGGTTAAAAGGTAATTTTAAAAGAATGTTTCAGATGTGTGGCATTTTTCTGTATGAATAAAAAAGAATAGTTGGTGTGCTGCGGAGACAAAGAGGAAGAACTAGAAGTTAATGCTGGTGACTTTTTTATCCCATCTTTCCAAAGTGACTATAGGGTGTACAGTTTAATTTTGTGCCACCTTTGCTGTAATTATATCATTCATGCCTCTGACAGGTCTTTCATGAATGTTTTCTGGAACCATGCCACAATAATGGGACATGCAAGCAACTGGGAAGTGGATATATCTGCATATGCCCACTTGGATATACAGGTAAAAAATTGAGAAGCAGGTGGAGTACCTAATATGTCTTGATGCCTTTAACATGAGCAAGTGTAAAGGAGCAAAACATTTCAATATAGCCTAATTGGAATGTCCGTCATATATTTAGAATACGTATTAAGAAAGTAAATACTTCTTCATGTTCTTGCTGAATTATCTTGTATTTAGCAGAAATGATTTTGAATGGGATTTCTTTTAATGGAGTTAGTGCATTTGAAAATCCTATCACTTGCCAATATTTGTGATTAACAAAAGCTGGAAATTTGCACTCTAGATGGAAAACTCCACTGGTACTTGTACTGTACCTGTACTTCTTTTTGGTGTTGGCTTCCCAGTTTCTTCAAAGCAAACAGATGTCTCATAATTCAGCTCTTATCAAGCCTACTTGTGATAGATATTAAGTGCCACTCTCTGGAACTGATCAATCTGTTGCCAAACATGCATCACACCTTTCTAATAACATTTTGCCTCAGGTCTGTTAAAACACAAACTAATAAGAAGATAATAAACATTAAGTAGTCATGACATCTCCGTTTCTGGACAATTTCAAATTTTGCCTCCCTATTCTGAATCCTTTATTTTGTGTTCTAGGCTTGAAATGTGAAACACAAGTTGATGAGTGTAAATCATCTCCTTGTCGAAACAATGGAATGTGTAAAGATGGCATTGGGACTTTTGTTTGCCATTGTCAACCAGGCTATTCAGGTAATTTCACTTCATAGCTTTTCTTCAAACAGGCATTGTTTCTGTGCCAAGTAGATAACACAAAACACAAGTGCTGTATAATTCCACACCCATGGAAAACAGGAAAACAATCTGATCTACAGGTTAGAGTAAGGTTCTACTGCATGTGAATAGATTTTTAAATAAAAGGATGAGCATTTGAGGCTGGGGGGGATGTACGTATGCTTCTCTTTTGTGGCATTTTCGGTCTGAAAAAAGGAATAAAATTCAGAGAAATAGTAAACACTCACAGGGAAAGTGCTTGTGAGACTGAGTGTGGCCTGACTAGACAAAACATTTTTGCAGTTGCTTTACTGCTTCCTATGAATAAGTGAGGGGGCTTTTTCTTATATTTTTTCTCAGTGTCATCTGCATGCACATTGAAGGTATTGAAATCTATGGTGAAACTAATATGCTTGAGTACTTTGCCAAAACAGCACCTAATTTTTTAAATCTTGAAATAAACTATCAAGGAGATAATTTTGTGTGATTAAAAAAAAAAAAAAGGCTTTCTGTTTTCCACCAGGAATAGTCTCCCTCATTGTCCACGTTTATGGCTATATATTTATCAACAGCAGCACCAGCTGGATTGTTTTTTAAACTTTATAAAGACATACCATGGACTTTGCCTCTTTCGCATCCCAGCATCTAAATAACACAGAGAATCTCTGTAGGTGTTTGCAGTAAAGCAGTCAATGATGGAATTTTTTCATCTGCTCTCAGTGGCCTTTGTTATGCCAGCAGTAAGGTGTTGTTCTATTTTCCACATCCAGTCACTGCAATATGCAGACAGTGACTATGTCTTGATCATGCCTTGTAATCCTTGCTGTTTGAAGGTCTCTTGTGTGAGGAAGACATAAATGAATGTAGTTCCAGTCCGTGTTTGAATGGAGCCCACTGTGTTGATGGCAAGAACAGTTACCACTGCACTTGTGCAAAAGGATTCACAGGTACACCTTGTTTTGTTTAAGTCAGCCTTTGCTCTTTCTGACAAAACAATGTCTTCCTACCCTGCCCAAACTATTTCCATCTCATTGCTATATAGCAATATATTTATTTTATATATATATATATATATATATATATATATAATATGTTGATATGGATGTACTAGATTCCTTACATCCATCTAATCCGTCAGAGTTTCTGTAGTGTACAAGTGGCTTCAGAAGGATTTACTAAGTGCTAGGTCTTCTATTACTAATTTTGCCGTGAACCTGATGTGAGATGTTTAGGAAAGAATAAGGACATTCACATGGGTTCTAATTGTTGGGTTTAATTTTATTTTAAAAGAAAAATATTATAACAATAGACAGGATGGTCTATATTAAAACTACTCCCAATCCCTGTACTTGGCTTCCTTTTGCTTTCATATATTCCTGTAACAAATACATGTATCTGTTATCATGTTGCCGAAGAGCTCAGTTTCTTCATTCTTCAGTCATTGTAACATAGAGCTTCTTTCACATCAGAAATCCCAGAATTCTGGCCTTCAGATCTCTCCTTAGAGTTAATATTTCAGCCAAATATCTTCTGTAGCAGATTTAGTTGCTCCAAATAGTTCTTCAGGTGATTTTCTAGTTCAACCCAAATTACTCACATAATGGTCAAGATACATTTAAATTCCTCACAATTTGCTATGTGTTAATTTCTATAACTGCAAAGATAGTTCCGGAATTCTTCTATGTCCACGTAACAGTCCTTGAAAATAAGAGATGGCTTAGTAATTTTCTTTCTTGATTCAAACCAAAGCTATTACTTTATTCTTTTTTTCTCAGGTGCTCACTGTGAAATGGAGGTCAATGAATGCCTTTCAAACCCATGTCTTAATAGGGCTATTTGTGAAGATCGAGTTGGGAGTTTCTCCTGCAAGTGCCTCCCAGGTTTTACTGGTGTCTTGTGTGAAAGAAACATTGATGAGTGTCTCAGCAGACCCTGTAGGAATGGAGCTACATGCAGAGATGGTATCAACAGCTTCAGGTGAAAAACAGATGATTAATGTAATACAATGTGGAAAGTCAGACAAATTGTGGTGTTTCAGACTTCTTAGATTTCAGCAAGCCTTTTGGTAGCCTGATCCAATATAAGTGGTCCACTTATGAATACTAAAAGAGATTTTAAAAGACAAGAAAATATATCATAGTGTCCTCACTCTTAAAAAATTCCAAGGTAGACGGCAAAGAAAATATACAGAGTTTGGAATGTAAGCGTGATTGGACTGCATGGTTTTAATATTGATCTTCCAAAAGAATTCCACGTTCCTAAACTTCAAGGGCTTATTTTGCTTTCCATGAGAATAATAGGTGATGACCAGATGACCAGTTGTGTATCTGGTAATACTACATTTCAACAGCTTGGGAAGACCTGTACATGTTAAGACTATACAGGTTAAAGTACAAACACCAATGGTAACTTCCAAATATTTATTTTTATGTTTTAGGGTACCTGAACTCAGATCAGAAGTGGCAAATACCAATAGCAGTGTCATATCCTAGATCACTGTATAGATAGGTTGTCCAGCTGTTAATGTCTGGGTTAAGTAACTCTTTCCCTCCCCATATCCCCAGAAGTTTTGGTACTTTTTAAGCACCTTGGTTTTCAAAGTAGCAGAGGTTTCGGTGCCTTTTTATACTGCCTTGTGTATCTGCCTGAAAAGTCAAATACTGGTTGATTTTTTTTTCATTATATGCCACTCCCATTGGCAGATCTGGCCTCATGGCCAGAATTCCTTGTTATGATGGCTGCCACCTTTGAAGTGTGCTTCTCTTCCTCTGTAGGTGTCTGTGTGTGACAGGGTACACAGGACTGAACTGTGAAGTGAACATCAACGACTGTGACTCCAGTCCCTGCTTAAACCAAGCCACCTGTGTGGATGCCTTGAACTCGTACGTTTGTAAATGTCCCCCTGGCTTTACAGGCAGCAGGTGTGAAACAGGTACAAAGGACTAAGTCTCAGACAAAGGTGGCTTGACTAAGTCTCTGCACAAGACTTGCACTGGCTGGGCTGATTTCATACAGCTTCCCCCGAAAAGCAGCTAAGATGGTGGGACTGAGGGGCTGAGTGAAGCCTGTGTGACTGCAGTGTTAAGTGTAATTGCAGACAAGTAACAGCGTGTGTGCAGTGTCATTTCTCTTTTCTAAGGCTTGGCTTTATCATTTTAATACCCAGTAGGTCTATCAAATTTAATTTGTATTTGCTGTGTATATCTGAGTTAATTATCTCTTTCTGATTCTTGTATTTTGTGTAGGGCTTTGCATCACAGGGTTAGTGTGTGGTAGTTTTAGCTTTAGAAGTCCTAAAGGCATCAAGTTCCCTACAGGCAAAAAATTCCCTGTGGTTAGGCAAAATGGGTCACACCTAGTGAAACTTCCTGGGGGATGCCGGAGGCATTTGAACTACGAAGCTCAAATCCATTTGTCTTCTAGCCACTCCATGAAAATTATAAATAGTTATAATAGTTGCTGGTGAGTCTTTAAACAGAAGTGGAAGAAGCCATGTCGATTTTATGGAGACAGTAGAGGACACTCAGGTCATTTACATCTGCCATCCTATGTCAGAGTTTAACACCCAACTTTCAGTAGAGTTCCACTTGACAACTTTTACATGCAGCATCCTTGTAAAGGGTGTCACTCTGCACTGAACAGCAGCAGAAAGTGCTGTTCCAGTAAGTTCAGAACAGGAAAAATCTTAGGTTGTTTTGTTGGATTTTTTTTTTTTTTGAATCTTCACTCTCATGAATTAAATGGAACCAGGTGATCACACCTCTTTAGGTTATTGGATGGTAGTGGGATGTGTCATTTTTTGATAGAGGAAAGCAAATTTCATATTCATTGTTAGATAGTCAGCTTCTTTTCCAGTTGTTTATCTTCAAACACTGTGTTTTCTAGCCTTGGAAAGCTCTGTATGGTGGCTGATGTTAGACTGCCAAACATTCTTTCTAGCTCTGATCAATTTAAAGTGAATAGTTTTTGTAGATGGACTGTGTTCCATTTTATTGCGTTTTCTTAGACTCCATTTGATTATCTTTCCAGATTTGCAGGAATGTTGCTCTGAAAACTCTTTGTCTGTTGCAGAACAGTCCTCTGGTTTCAATCTTGATTTTGAAGTCTCTGGTATCTATGGATATGTCATACTTGATGGTGTTTTACCATCTCTTGGTGACATCACCTGTACATTCTGGATGAAATCCACTGACACCACAAACTATGGGACTCCCATTTCTTATGCAGTGGAGAATGGAAGTGATAATGCATTTCTTCTGACTGATTACAATGGGTAAATCACATTTCTGCTTTTCTGTAGCTTACAGATGTCTTGAATTGATAAAGAAAATACAGAACAGAAGTCTGAATATCAGCTTTGCCTGCTTTGGCATAGAAAAATCTGCATCCAAACTCCATAGCTGAAGTTGTCTCTTTGTTTTGTTTTTCTCCTCACTTTGTTTCCTTTACTTTTTGCCCAATAGAAGACTAATGGTGAGAAAGCAGTGAATTTAGAAAACATGATATTCTTTTGTCTGAACTACATTCACATCATATTTAAATGACTCATTGAGACAATTAATGGATTGAATTGGAGCTCAACACTCAGAGTACTTGTAGCATGACTCTGAGCATGACTTGTATTTGTACAAAAGCAGAGTATGACTTGTAGCATGACTCCAAACTCAACCAGCTGGTTCAAGAATCCACCGTGCAGCCATGACTTGAGTTTTAGTATTTGGTACAAAAGCGCATTACTTATATCGTCGTGCTTTACATGTGGTAACCATACCTTCCAAGTCCTCTGAGACAGAGATATCTTGTACGATGATCTTTCAGGAGAGATTTCTTACATGGTATAGACTCAGTTACCTTGTTAGGCAACTAACATTTCTTTGAGTCATATGAGACAGACCATGCTTTTGAAGTTGCTGCATGCAACTGAGTATGCCTTCATCTGCCTTCCATGCAGCTGGGTTCTTTATGTGAATGGGAAAGAGAAGATAACAGACTGTCCTTCAGTGAATGATGGTAACTGGCATCACATTGCGGTCACATGGACATGCAGGGACGGGGCATGGAAGGTGTACATCGATGGAAAACTGTCCGATGGAGGCAGTGGACTCTCTGTTGGATCAAAAATCCCTGGTATGCTTTATTTATATTATAGCAGATCTGTTGCCTTCATTCTTTTTTTGTTGCAGAATTTGCCATGCTTGCAAGAAAATGTTTATTTTGGTGGTTTTTTTATATCTTCACATTTTCAGCATTTATGCAGGGCTCATGTTTGCTGTTCTTGTCTGTGAGGACAGTTCCCCTCACTCAGCATCACTGAAGACAAAGTGCACATTTCTAGGGTAAACTAGTAGGTGACTTGTTTTATGGATGACAGAGTTTAGTCCACAAAGGAACCTGTGCTGAGCTGGTTCTGGAGTGGCTTTGTGAGAAGAAGTTTCTCGCACAGCAAAATTCAATTTAACTGGAATCTCCCTTACAAATGTGTATGCAGAGTTATTTGATTTTGCCTTCTCATTTTTTCCTGTCAAGGCAGTTTTGCTATTTTATTGTTTCTTGTGGTCAGTGGTCTTTATGGTAATATCAGAAGACATGAAAAGGAGTACCTTCAGCATTGAAGAGCTGTAGAAGGCCTGGCATCCTATGGCTGCATAGAGATTTTGTTTTCATAGTGTTTGCATGTTGCCACCACCCAAATTTACATATAGTTTCAAAAAACTATCCATATTCAAATAAAAAATAAAATATTGAAGCATTTTAGTCCATGTACCTTATACTTCC